AAATGTTACCTTTTAACAAGTGAAACAACTATAGACGTTTCTTACTTATCTCGTCCAATTACGATTTCTTTCGAAGGAATATTTGAAAATATAATAGGTCCGAAAGAAGAGGATTGGAACAGTCGTGTCGATTTTAACGAGGTACCGCAAACAGGTACGGGTGATTGTAGATGGCGGCGATTTAATCGGAGTTCTTTCAACTGCGAAGTTGATTCGCGATCAACGAAGCTATTGTGTTCCCCAAAAAGGATCTGTCGCACCTGAGAATAGTGCCAACGAAATAACTCTTTCTGCTGCTTATTATTTGCTTCGTTAAAATTGTTGATCGATGATATCGATGAAAAATAATAATTCAAATTTACACATTATAAGGGATGAAGATAAAAAGAAAAGAAAAGAAATAGAAGAAAAAAAAAAAGAAAGAAAAAGAGAATTGGCAAGAGAAAAATTACGATCGATTAATAACCGCGTAATTCCTTAATCGCGTTGATCTTGGATAGATGGATCGATCGATCGGAATTCTTATTTTCCAACTTCTGTTGGAGTTGGCTTACCAGCTATCAAGCGAAATACCTGTTCGAGGGGAAAAATCCGTCTGTAAATAACTTCGAGAAAGCTGTGCAATCTTCGTTCATACCATAGTACCTTAACTGTTTTAACGGCCGCGAAGAAGTCGAGACGGAGCGAAACAGCGAAGGGCGAGCAGAAAAATGGAGAAAAAGGGACGAACGAGCGTAAGTATATCCGGATGATCGTGTGTAAAGGCGAAGGAACATTGCTTGTCGTGAGATAGAGACGGAAAGTGCAACGACGGCTTAACATATAAGTGGGAAACAAGGAGGGAAGAGAGACGAAGGAGAGAAAAGAGAAAGAAGAAGTGGATGACAACGAAGGATGAGGATGACTATGATGATAACGACGATGATAATGATAATGACGACGATGATGAGGAGAAGAAGGAAGAGGAGAAAGAAGAAGAAGAAGAAGAAGAACAGAAGAAGAAGATGATGATGAAGAAGAATAAGATGAGATTTTCTGTTGGAGGGTTTGCCGAGGGGGTCCAGACCAAGCTCCATCTGCATAACCGGTATATACCGGCAATGTAGACTGGCATGAAGGTAGAATCGAGCATGTCCTCGGCACGTTATATCGCTCCCCTCGTCCTCGTACGATACGAAGTGTAGAGAGACCTCGAGCCAGTGGATAGAAGAGAAGCGAAAGGTACAGCTAAGAAGAGAAGCGAAAAGGGGAATCGGTAGTGGAGGTTGGGTCTTCGTGTAGAGTGGCTCCAAGAACGAGCACACGCGGTATCCCTGCCAGTGAAACTGGTAGAGAGAAAAGCGTAGGCGCGAGTATCCGCCGACCGATGACATCATCGGTGTTCTGCCTCGAGTCATTCTCTCGGCAGAAGCTTCTCTTTGCTCTCCAAACTTTTTCGTGAACTCTCCTCCTACTCGGAACGATCTCGATTTTTCTTCAAACGTATGGGATTTCCGTTCGCAGCCAGTATAAGCGTGATAATTAGATTCTCCCCTTTTGCATTCTTTCCCATTCACTCTTTTCAATTCGAATTATCTCCAAGTCTCTTTTCTCCCCTTCAATGTCCTGAAAAAATGCGAACAAATTAACACGCGAAAAAATTATGATAATTGTACGAAGAGTCATAGGAATACGGTATAAAACGTTCTTAACTTATCTTGTCGTTCGGAGACTTCAACACTTCCAGACCCGCAATCGCAATGTCGATTTCTCGACAACGCCATATTCGTGTACTTTTAATCCACTTCGAATTCATTTTCTTTTTTTTTTTTTTCGATCGAGTATAATATTTATATTAGAAAAAAAATAATTACGTTATATTAATATATATATATATATATATATTAAATCGAGATATTAATACAAAATATCTTCTCTTCTCTGTTATATGGAAACATCAACTCAATCGTATCGCGGAATTCGATCGGGGTACAACAGTTTTTCGAAGATCGTTAACTTTAAACTTTAAACAGAATGAAGCTGTTAACCTGGCGGATTAGCCTTTCAGATTCCTAATCGTATGGAAATGTGAAACGGTATCGCTTAGAAAACGTTAGACTAAATTCTCTCGTGAAGCTATCAACACGTTTATTCGTTCTGTTCCGCGATCTCTTTTTTCCTTATCCTCTGCAACGAAACAGGTTTAAAAGACTTGTCGATCGCATCGAGGATACGTTTCCGCGCATGTTTATGATACGAGAGTGTCAAAAGTTTATCGAGGCGGGAAAAATTAATTGGAAAAAGATTGGGGAAAACGAATGAGTTCAAGAAGTTTCTTCAGCTTTTGTATAACGAAACATATAACGAATGGAACGATTCTGCAAAAATAGAAGATAGAATTTTTGCGGATATTATTGTACAACTATCGTGGAAGTGAATCTCAAAGCACCGCATTTCGTAACGAAGGATAATTTTTGAAATCAATTTCATCGCCGATATTTCAACCGTGTATTTCAACGCGTGATCTGCAAGCTTGGATCGGACAAGGCTTCGTAAAAACTTTGTGCACGGTACACGACGGTATTGGCCAATGAGCACAAACACAATGAAAGAGAATACGAAATATTTGTGAAGGAAATCGGCACGGAGAAAAGCAGCAATCCCTATAAGAAAACGCGGGAGCGTTGGAAATCTCTCAAACTCGAAACCTGTGCCGGGACGGTCACGAATAAGGGGCGAGACATCCATAAACTTACTTTAGACCTCGGGGCTCACGGGGGTTCTGGGTAGGTTTTTCTTTTTACAGGGCCAGGCAGGTGCGAACCGATTTCTATAGTCTTCTCCCGGTAACGGCCGTCTTTCGTGCCAACGGTCCAAGTTTTACGGCGGCTTCCGTTGAACAAATCTTGTCATGTCCAATCAAGGAAAAACGCTTTCATTCTTGGTTCAATCGATGGTTTTACATTTTCTTTTTTTTTTTTTTTTTTTTTTTTTTTTTTGTCGTCGTTTTATAACAAAATAGAAACGGTTAATCGAAAGTGAATCAAATGCAGAGACATTTCGAAACGTGAAAAAAAGGATGTCTCTTCTCTCTTCTTTCTCTGTTACGGCTACAATTTCGTGAACTGTAGACCTAATCGATTAACGGCTTTGCGCTATTCAAATTGCTTTCATTGGTAGTTGCGCGTGACCACCGCATTTTAAATTGCCTCACAGTCTTCCGCGTAATCGTAACGAATGCGAATGAGAACCTCGATTTTCGGTCCCTCTCTTTTGTTTTCGAAATGTGTTTCATCGCGAGAAGCTTTTTCACATGGTAACGTCTCTCGTGCATGCATGGAAACCGTGATTTTTCTTCACCAATTCTAATTACTTTTTAAATCGTTTAAAAACCCTGTCTATCTAATTGTATCCTATAAACGATTGATCGGTGTTCATACATTCGAAATAATTGGTTAAAGTGGAAAAAAGAAGAAGAAAAAAAAAAAAATCAAGCGTATACGAGAACAACGATAGGAACGCCGGTGGAGCAAGGACGGTGTACATCCGGCGGAAGTCGAAGGGCGTCAGCTCGTGACGCCAACGCTTGTACGCAGGGCTGAATTAGCTTTGTACCTGGACAGACGCAGGTGAGTTACCAGAACAGGGATATAACAGTACCGATCCTTTCGAAGGATCCTTCTTCGAAACGAACAATAAAAATCGTCCTTGACCGACCACGGTTAAGGTTCAGAATCAAGCGAGGAAATACCTTGTGAAGAATCCTAGAGTAAATTAGATTTTCCATTCCCGTTTAAGGTAATCGCGCCGCTTGTTCATTATTCCCATTCTTCTTTTCAGATTTTTCAATTCAATTTAACCGAAGTTGACGACGAGTTTTTTTTTTTCATCGATGATCACACACGTACGAGTGATAAAGAAAAAGAGGAAAAGTATATTCTTCTTCGAGTAGATTTGTAATACCAGTCGCACAAAACGATATCGAATTCGACCTTCGAGGTCCTGGCACTCAGGGCAAACCGATACGCATGCAAAATTTCATTCACGTGAGCGTCACGTACGGCTTTACGTTGCAATAACATTCCGAGAATAAGTTGGGGTCCGAAAGTTCGCCGGTTCTTTGTTTCTTGATGTTTTAACGGAATAGGGAACGAATTTACTTTTGAAAAAAGAAAGACTATCCCCTCCCTAATTCGCGTTTTGAATCACCGACGACTTAAAAACGTCGTTTGGTCTTGTTGAAGACGGAGAAGTCGGGACGTAAATTAAGAAACCACAAGCGCGAGTATAAAGATCCGGTTTTTAATATGCGCGACCAACCATTTTGACGAGATACAACTGAATTATTTTCGAGAATCGCAAAATATTAATCGATCTCGAAGATCGATTTGAAACCAACATTGAAATTGCGATTGTACATCACTCGTTCGTGCACATGCCTTCCGTCACGGCGCTGCCTTTCCCACAAACTGAAAATGGATGACACGTGTAGTCGAGGAACTTCCCAGGACGTACTTTCAGACAGCGGAACCGATTCTACGTCGTTCCAAAGAGGCGTATCTTTAGGGTGCATAAATGCGTTTGAACATAAAAAGCGTTTCATCGAAAGAAAATCGAAGTTAAAAGAGAAATCTTTTCCTCTCTAATTATTAACTATTTTCCAGATTACTTTCAACGGGCCAAGATTACCCTTATATATAATTAAACAAATTGCTTAAAGAAAAAAAGAAAAAAAAGAAAAGAAAAAGAATTGGTTTCGAATAACACGTGTCGAGCTATGGCTGGAATTAGCCATCGTTTTCGTGGCACGCCACGCTTAATGTGCAATTTAAACTCGAATTTGAAAATATACAATTTTACATTTCGTGTCACGTACCGCTAATTAATTAGCAAGGCATGCGGATGGCGACGTTTCAAAATCGCAATTTTTCCGTTGTAAGAACATGGTTCAATTATTATCGGACAACGAAGCAACCATCACATCCTGAAACGCATTACACCAATTCCATCATTCATTCGAGAAGGAATTCGACAGATGAGAACATCAAGTTTAATAATCTAACGTGTATGCGTGTGTGTGTTTGTGTGCATACGTGCATGTATTCGAAGTAAAGGCAATAATGTCTTATTACGAAATTCGACGAGGAATCGAGAAAAAGTGCTATATCGTCGAGGCACGCGTGAAATTCCCACGCAAAGTATTCTACGCAGAGTATTCTTCCCCGAACGAATTTTCGTGTTCCGTCGCTAATAGATTCGACAAGGATCATCGAGTAATCTTCTCAGGTGAATACGAAACGAAGAAAATGGAATCGACTTCTTTTCCATAGATCTGTAATTAAAATTAGAATCAGAGTTCCTCAAGGTGTATCCATGTTAAGTTAAGTCAGTATAGCGAAGATTGGATTCGTTCGGTTGGCAAAAGAGAGGTGCAAAGCCGAGAAGCCCGACGAGGATATTCGAGAAGGGGCGAGAAGAAGAAGAAGGTAGTTTGGGTATTCGAGAAATATTCGACTCGTCGGCGATCATTGTGGTGACGTCGTGAATTCTTCGAAAAACGAGAGGACAGACCGGCTACGTAGAGGTACATACGAGGCCGAGCCTTCACCTCGATCGCGCGAGGTGTACGCGACGCGCACGTATGTATAGGTAAACGTACGTAGACAGGTACGCGAGCGAAACGATCGGCGAGAGAGGAGAGAAGAGAAGAGAAGAGAAAAAGAAGACAGAAGAAGAAAAAGAGGGACAAGACGAGACGAGACGAGACACGTGGAATCGTGCAAAACGCAGAAGAGAGAACGGGAGGAAGATGAGAAACGGAGAAGGAGAGGATGTGAAAGGGAAGAGAAAAAGAAGGCTGAGAAGGAGGGAAAAGGAGGAGGCGCGAGAGATCGGTAGAGGGGTCATTGGTTGTTCGTTGCGCACTCTCAACGTATGGGAATCGTTATGGACCGACTATAGTCGTTGGAATGCGTCCTTTTTTCCTTTTTCTGTCTCCCCATATACCTGGCGGGCTACTCTCGCTTCGTTGTGGCGACGACGTTGGCGGTGGCGGTGGCGATGGCGGTGGCGGTGGCTGTGGCGGTGGCGGCAACCACCGCGGCAAACCTCTTGCGGACAATCTCGTTGGCTGGCGACCGGTACAGCCGCGACCGGCCGAGGAGGAAAGGAACCACGATTCGACTTAACGGATCTGCGCCGCCTTCGAACACTGCAAGTCACCAACGCACCGTATAGGTAACCGACAGCCATTGTTAACGGGAAAAGAAAGCTTTTCACGTTAGAAAAGAAGAAGTGAAAATAGAAACTGGAGCTTCTTATTGACAGGAAAGAAGAAGAAGAGGAGAAGGAGAAGGATGAAGAGGAAGAGGAAGAGGAAGAAGAAGAAGAAGAAGAAGAAGAGGACGATGTAATCCCGAACAAAACTTTATCTTTGAAAAAAATCTGCAAAGATCGTTAAGGAGAGAATATAGAAAGAAAAGTTTACGGGTCAACGGTTATAAAACGGAAGAAACAAAAGGGGAATATACGAGACGTCGTGTGGAAAGATCGCGAACTCGCGCAGCAAGAGCCAGAAGAGCGTTCGAGAACAAGGAGAACGAGATGCCGGCGCGAGGAAAAGGTAGACGAGGCAACGCGATAAAGAACGAATCAACCAGGTAGAAGGACAGGGATGCCGCGGTAATGCTCCAAGAGAGCCGGCCAAACGAGAAGACCGGCCAAAGAAGGGAAGAGAGAGGGAGGGACAGAGAAGAAGAGAACGATAGAAAACGGACATAGGTAGGAGGACAGGTAGTCGGGGAAAGAAGACCAAGTGAAGAGCATAGGGGAGAGAAGATACAAGAGAAAAGAGTGGATCCACGAAGGGGAACAGCACGGCAAGGAACGGAATGGAGCGGTGTAGAAAGTAAGAGAGGGGGAGAGGAGAGGAAAGAAGAAAAGAGAGAGACTCGTTCCTCTCGTATATATGTCGGCAGTTCGGTTCGGTGACGTCACGATGTCGATTTGAACGGACCAATGGGCATTCGAAACGAAGCTGAAGAGGTAAAGAGGATATGGAGGGGAGTGGAGGGTGGAAGAGGGCCGAAGGGGCCCCGAGGGGGCCAAGGAGCTCCAGGTTCCGGAGTTCGAGGGGGAAGGGGTAACGCGAAAGGTGCGTGCGGCCCCAGACGTGGGGCGCGGGGCCAGTTGATCAGTGAGTGCGGTAGTGATCTCATCTTGTACCGCGCCAGGTGTGACTCCTCTCTTTCCTCTTCTTTCGATACGAGTCTATGTGCCCTTGGTAAGACGGAGCAAGCAGTAGCGGACTTAAAATTCACGTATCGGTTCGAGCCGTGTCCTCAACACCGAACAACAGGTATGGTACTCTTCTCTCTTTTCCACAAAAAAAGACATTGTTCGCGGCATTGTTCCAAATATTATTCGATACGATCTGTTTAATACATCATAAGTTATAATAAAGATTAAATTGAATTGAATTAAATTAAATTGATAAACAAAAGAAAGATTATTCGTAAAGATAATAATTTCTCTAACTTACGAATATTGAAGATTTAAGATTATTAGGATTCATTGGTTTAGAAATAAAATAAATAAAATTCTGTTGATTCTCGGTAAACGTGACTGACAAGGTCGAGGCAAATGTTGCCGCGTTTGCATTCTTGTCTAGTCAGCTATTCATTTCTTTCCAATCGTCATCTTTCCCAGCTCGAACGGTATTGTGATTCCTCTTTCTTCTTCTTCTTTCTTTTTCTCGAGATATTGCAACTCAAAATTGAAAAATCTTCTCCGATTCCGCATTTACGGCCAATGTTTTTTCTTACTCAGTTCTTTGCGCTTGTCTGAGTCGAGTCTACTCGTTGCCGATTCGCACCGTTTCGCGTGCGAATTTCCTCAGGCCTCTTAGCAACAGGTTGTATCTGACTACCATGGAAAAATGATAGTCGTTCGAACGCTTTTGTTCGTTCTATTCTTCCATATCAAAATATCCTCCGACGCTTTTAATATCATCTTTTCTTTTCAAATTTCCTACGACCAAATATTAGAAAATATACGATCAATGATCAATAAACGTCTACTGCTTCTAATTAAAATGAAATTCACATTTACAATTTTTTTTATTTATTAGTAATTTACTAGTCAACAATGATTTTGATTATTTCGTGTCAAATAAATAAGATTTTCGTACAATTCGATACAATTTATCGACTCACACTTGTTTTCATTTTTAAACTGATATTAGTTCGGGAACACAATTTAATTTACCGTAATGTATATATCATAATACATATCAGTTACATATCAGCGCTCGAACATTTCAAATATGATTTAAAATAAAGGCTTGATTAGTCGTTTTCTTTTTATTTTCAAGAAAAAAAAGAAGGGCAAAAAATTCTTCAATTCTCATAAACATAACTCGAATTTATTTCCATGAACTTGTTTGAATTTTTCTTTTTCGCTAAAGAGCAAAAAATTGTCTTTTCTGCGTCACAGCTTCGACGAAGATCGGCGGCGCGGTAGCGATATGGCATTGCGGAAGCCTGTATCGCGAACGATCTTCAACGTGCCGGCGAATGCATTCAAGATTTGCACGGTAGAGCGAGCGACTGAGAAATAAAACGCACATATGCATACCTGTGTTTGACTGCACCGCGTGTATGGTATCGAGCCGTGAATCCTCCGTTCAGAATGACACCGATCAAGCGGTCCAAGCGGCGGTCGGTCGTCGAATAGCCAATTCGAATATTTATTACATTAGGGATATTAGATATTAGATAAAACGAAAATTCTTTTCTTGATCGTTTTTTTCTCCTGGTTTTTAAAAAAAAATTTTACATTATATTAGAAGATAATAATCAAACATCTACGCATTTCGCGATCATAAATTAATTTGCAAGTTAAAGCGTTTTGTTTGTAAGGTAAATAATGAGACAAGTATCGCTTTACCGTGATCGTTTCCTTCCATCGTTTAAACATTTCTATGAAAAATCTCAATTTTTGTTTATATTCTGTTGTTTAGATTCTATTTTTTTTTTTTTTTTTTTTTTTTTTTTGCTTAATCTTCATCGACAATTTTCGAATTTAATTAATTGCGCTATTTTCTTATGTTTTTCTTGTTGAATACTTGAATATTTACATTTTTTTTTTCTTTTTAAATTTAAATTTTCGAACTCGAATTCGAATATCAAATCTTAAACATTTAAAATAATAATATTTTCAAATTTCTAATAGATCGAACATTCTCTCGAACAATCAACGAATTAATTTGCTTTCCAGATGACCGAAACTTGCTGGTTGAAAGATGCGATAACAAGAGCGCCAATAAGGGGGAACTAATTTTCGTGATTCTGTGACAAAGAAAAGGGGAAAAGGACGGTGAAGATATTTCAAGAAATAATGAAGAAAAAAAAAAAAAAAAAAAATCCGCGAAATCGTAGAGATGGGGAGGGAGGGGGAGAGCGAGGAGGGCGGGGAGGGGGGGCCCAGTCTTCTTTTTCGCGCCTTTCGATCTGTTTTCGAAGCGCGGTCAGGAAAATTAAATCAAGCTCGATAACCACACTTGAAGTGATAATGAATATAAGTGAAGCGACATTAGCCCCGGCTATCTCGAGTACTCGTACAGCTGTGTTTGCGTAAACGATTGGAAGTCGCATTGAAAGCCTGTCTCGTTAGGAAACAAATTTACCATTGGAGTACAGATTCAACTTATTAACGTCTTAACATCGCGATTTTCCATTGGAGGGGTAAGTTGGTGATTTGGAAGACGCGCGTGTCGACGCGGATAACCACGAACGGGATCCCTGATCGTTGCGCAACAAACTAAGGAACGCAGCAGAAAAGTTCTCGATAAAACGTACGGTCAATAAGGCGTATCGTGCAAAGACCCTGTAATGGCTCGACTGGACACGGGACTGTTAATTAAATCGTAAACTGTTAATTAGACCGTTAAACCGACCAGCCTTGGGATACGGGATGCCTAAAATAGCTTTTCGTCGTCCACCAACTATTGCCGATTTTTTTTATTAGAAATCTGTGCTATCAAATTATCCGCGCTAATTCGATCTTTGAAACGAATTATACGATCTTCTTTCTCGCATATTTCGCAAAAGTTTTTTTTCCTTTTTTATCGCTTTTCATGGGAGAGAATGCACGATAATAATAATAATAATAATAATAATATAGTTCAGCTGTACCAACCGTGACAAACAAATGGAAAGAATCGAAGGCCGGCTTATCATGAAAGATAGGTACTCACTCGTATTTGCTATAGGTACGTGACGATGGACTTCGCAACTTGGATAAGCTATTCTCTAATAATGAACTAGACTAGAGTTGCTTTTGTCGCTATACGCAGCAGCTTTCAATGGAGGGAAAAAAAAAAAAATAAAGAGAATTAAGTTTTAGAAAGTCGGGGATTATTGTTGAATCGAGGCTAAATCTTTCTGGTCAGCCTTCCTGTTACGTCCGATATGAGAGCGGGCCAAAAATAACCGGCAGTTTCGCAGGTGAGTGTGCCACGGTTTCTTTTCTTTTTTCTTTTTTTTTTTTCTGTTTTTTTTGTTTTGATCTTTTACTCCTCTCTTATATAGAATCTTTTGTACTTTCATTCTTACACGTGCAAGGAGAAATTCATGGATCGTTTCTCCTATATGCGATAATCATTATCCAATTTTAAATATGTTCAACGTTAGAGAATGTTCGGTTGTTAAATCTTATTTTTATATTCTCAAGAATTATGGATCAACGAACGAACAGATAGGATAAAACTCGCGTAACAATCTCTTAAGTTATCTCTTGCGAAATTCGATAACGTTCCTAAAACTGACGTATTTTAACCGCATATCAGATTCGATAAGCGTGTTATTTAAATATAAAATTTCTGCCAAATGTGTCCGGTTTTCATATTTTGCAGTTTCTTGAAAAATTTATTATAACATTTTCTACTCAAGATCATGCGCGTATTTAATATCGAGATTGAAAAAATTAAGCAGATAAAGAAATTGGAAGAAGCACGGAAAGCGTTGAACAACTTGATAAAATAGAACCCAGCCACGCGTGCATTGCAGCGTGAGATCATAACTTTCTCCAAATGGAAGTTCTTACGAAACATCGTAGTGGTCTACTAACGGATTGACCGAAGTAAAAGCATTGGATATTACAATCTTTACTGTAACCAGAAAGTTTAAATAAATTTCTTTATTTTAAAATTTTATATCACGACTCGAATGAAATTCAATCCGCGTGATAAGTTGTTTGAATATTAATATCTGAAGCCACTTTGATTGTTGCACGTACATATTAGTAGTCATTTTATTTAATCAATTTGAGCAAAACACTGGTTACAATTTTTACGCGATTTAAACGTGACATTTTCAGAATCTGAAATTTATCTTTGGACACGTACTCGCGGTTTTTTAAGTCGTAATTTTTAATTTAAATCGCGAATCAATTAGTCGGAAATGGACAACTAGGAAACTGAATGATATCGCAAGATGTACGTCTTTGAGTCAAAGTAATTATGACGTAACGACATAATGTCTTGCGCGTTGTACAATTCAGCAAAACCGTATCGCTTCGTTTCATCATATTATAAATTTACATTTTACTTCAAGTAACACACTTTAATACAAAAAAAAAAAAAAAAACTAATTAATCATATACCTATCGTTTTCTCTGCAAAATTTGATTTTATTTTTCATATCGTATATATTTTAGAAAGAATGACTTTGGCCTGGTAACGAGAGAAGAATTTTCAGATATACACTCGTAGCCTCTGGCTATCCCGAAGGCCCGTCTCACCGACTAACTTTCACTCCGAAATGTCAACGGTTGTGTTTCACTTTTCAAAGCTGTGCGCGTATCAATCAATTCGTGGTTACGCGACAAAGAGACGATTGTTGTAAAGCGGTTTCCGATTTCTCCGTCTTTCTGTTACAGAGTGGGGGACACCATCGACACGTGCATGTCATTATCTGCATCAGGAAATAGTGGCTCGATCAAGAGACATTCTCGTATAAAAGGCGTTAACGATTGATCCATGTCTTGCCGATATTATTTGCAGTATCAAGAAAGATCCGTTATTGTTAAATGGCAGAGCAGGTTTTCAATTCCCGACGATTTCATTGATTTAGATGATCAATTTTCATCGAAATTATTTCTTTATTTATTTAAGACAACAAGAAGATCTTGGCGCGGACATTTTCTTTGGTTATCTAGCTGTATGAGTATTATTCGACATCATAAAGCTAGGTTACCGGAGTTAAGCTCCTCGCCATATCAACTTCAACGATTTTTTTTTGATTTTTCGACTAAATTGATTATTTACAAATTGATGAATCTAAAAATAAATACAATATTTATGTATATTATATTATATTATAAGTAATTTGTTATATATTATAAATAAATATAAATTCTGATAAAAAAAAGAAAAATAAAAAAATTTTTTTAAAAATCTTTCAAATTTCTAAAACTTAATTATAATTATCATGAAAAAAAATTTTTCTATAGAATTAACAAGCGTTACATTGGAATTACATTGAATATAAAAAAAAGAAAATGTCTAACATGCTTCAAAGATTTTTGTATTCATTCTGCATGAAAATCTACGGGTTAGGCATTTGTAATTACTAGTAGTGTCATTGCCACGTGACTCGATTACCTATTAAGAACATTTCAGAATTTCCAACTTATTCCAATTGATTTCGTTTTTGTATATATAATCATATTTCGTATTCTTAGAAATAATTCTATTAACTTTTATATCAATTCTTGTCGATTAATTTATCTTAAAATAAATTTGATTAAAAATAATAAAAAGTAAAAATAGTTTTTTTTTTTATAAATTCTCAAATTAAAAATATTTTATATTAATAAAATAATTTTTATATTTCAGAAATTAAAATAAGAAGAAAAATTAAGATAATAATTGTAAACAAAATGTTTATGTTTATCTAAGAAAATTATAGTATCAAGTACATGTTTAATAAGATTTAAATTTCATTTCAAATAACGATAAGAAATAAAATTGCAATAAACTATGGGGGCGCCACATACCGATATGTATACAGAAATATGATTATATACCGACTGGATTTTCGAGGTTTTTACAAAACTTTTCTTTTTTTTTTGTTCTAAGTACTAATTTATTTACTTACCACTTTTAATTTTTTTTTTTTTAACTTTCAATTAATGAATTATAATGTTGAAAAGTTATATATAAAAAAAGTTTATATATATATCTATATTTTTCTATATATAATATTCCTATTTCCGATAATTTATTAATTTATTAATTAATAATGCATTTCTTATTATTTTTTTTAACTGCAATAAATATATATGATTCATTATACAAGTATTTCTCTTAAAACTATAGAAATAAAAATTAAATTAAAATAATAAAGAACGAATCAACTCTAGAAATCATACTCACTTATACATAAATTATATTAAAAATATATAATGCATTAAAAATATTTTTAAAACATTAAAAATGTTTCAACACAATGGGATTTCGCTTAAATATAAATAAAAAAAAAAAACTGTTAGAAAAGAATCGAAAGCTAAAAAATAATATAATATGATAAGAAGAAAATTTTTGCCGCGTAATATCAAACACATGGTTCGATAATATTTGACGATATAATGGTTAATAATTTCTATTTAATATAATCATAAATGATACATTTCAAATTTACATACCAATTGATGATATTCATTGATAGATATGATTAACGGACAAGAAGGGGTTAAGGTAAAAATTATTTATTCACTTGTCATAAAAATTTTGATATTATTTGCTTTCTTGACTTATAAAACTAAATGCCGGAAGTATCATATTAAAGTGATCACAAAAAAGAACCAAATCAATTTCCATTATTTAATAACAAATATCTATATATTTAAAAAAAAAATTATGCATTTTCATTCTGTAATAGATAAACAATATTGAAAATGTAGATAAAAAATATTTATTAATTAAAAATTATCGAGATGAATTTAAATTTTCCCGGATATGAGGTATCCAAAGAGATAAAAATGTTCTAGAACATTCTAGAACATTCTAGAATTTTAGTGAGTATATAAAAGCAAACCTACTCAACGCGCGTCTTCATTCAATGAACTGCTAGGTGCTCGGTACTGTGTTTATAAATTTTTGAAGTGTATTTTAACGTTGGTTCAACTGAATATCAAGGTATAATTATTTTAAATTAATTATTAAAAAATATTTAATGTATTTACATAAAATATATTTCCTAAACAATAAATAATTAGTAAATTTATATTGATTTACGTTCTTGTTAAATATTATTTTAAATTTAATAGTTTTATTCAAAAATTAATCTTAATTCTATTCTATTACACTTTTTTATTCGTATAAATTTGTTTTTTTTAATTGTATCCGGAAATATTATTGCAATATTATTTAATAATAAAATAATATATATCACGTGTAAAAAAAAAAAAAAAGAAATGCACGTATAAAATGTTTCATATATAAATTAAAAATAAAAATTTGTGTGTGTGTATGTAGTTTGAAATTGTTAATTGTTTCTTTTTTCTTTTTCTAATTAATTTTTTTTTTTTTACAGATGTCAACAGAAATAGAAACAAAAGCAGAAGATGTGGAAACTTTTGCATTCCAGGCAGAGATTGCTCAACTTATGTCATTGATTATTAATACTTTTTATTCGAATAAAGAAATTTTTTTAAGAGAACTTATTTCAAACTCTAGTGACGCTCTTGATAAGATTCGTTATGAATCTTTAACTGACCCTTCTAAGCTTGATAATGGCAAAGAATTATTTATTAAAATTATTCCAAACAAGAATGATGGTACTTTGACTATTATTGATACTGGTATTGGTATGACTAAGGCTGATTTGGTAAATAATCTTGGTACAATTGCAAAATCTGGTACCAAAGCTTTTATGGAAGCACTTCAAGCTGGTGCAGATATTTCCATGATTGGACAATTTGGTGTAGGTTTTTATTCTGCTTATTTAATAGCAGACAAAGTCACTGTTATTTCAAAACACAATGATGATGAACAATATCTATGGGAATCTAGTGCTGGTGGATCATTTACTGTTAGACATGATAATGGAGAAACATTAGGAAGAGGAACAAAAATTGTTTTACATGTAAAAGAAGATCAAACTGAGTATTTAGAAGAGAGTAAAATAAAAGAAATCGTAAAAAAACATTCTCAATTTATTGGTTATCCAATTAAATTAGTTGTGCAGAAGGAACGTGAAAAAGAACTGAGTGAGGATGAAGCTGAAGAAGAGGAAGAGAAAAAGGAAGATGATGGAAAACCAAAAATTGAAGATGTAGATGAAAATGAAGGAACATCAGAGGAAGAAGGAAAAAAGAAGAAGAAGAAGACTATTAAAGAGAAATATACTGAAGATGAAGAATTAAACAAAACAAAACCTATCTGGACTAGGAACTCTGATGATATTACACAAGAAGAATATGGTGAATTTTACAAATCATTGACAAATGATTGGGAAGATCATTTGGCTGTTAAGCATTTTTCTGTGGAAGGCCAATTAGAATTTAGAGCTTTACTTTTTATTCCAAAACGTATGCCATTTGATTTATTTGAAAATAAGAAAAGGAAAAATAATATTAAACTATATGTGAGAAGAGTATTCATTATGGACAACTGTGAACAGTTAATTCCAGAATATTTAAATTTCATAAAAGGAGTAGTTGATAGTGAAGATCTTCCTTTGAACATTTCTCGTGAAATGCTTCAACAAAATAAAATTTTAAAGGTTATTCGTAAAAATCTTGTAAAAAAATGCATAGAATTGTTTGAAGAACTTGCAGAAGACAAAGACAACTATAAAAAATTCTATGAACAATTTAGCAAAAACATTAAATTAGGTATTCATGAGGACAGTTCTAATCGTAGTAAATTGTCAGATCTTTTGAGATATAATACTTCAGCTTCTGGAGATGAAGTCTGTTCTCTTAAAGATTATGTAGGCAGAATGAAAGAAAATCAAAAACATATTTACTTCATTACTGGAGAGAACAAAGACCAAGTTGCAAACAGTTCATTTGTTGAACGTGTAAAAAAACGTGGCTTTGAAGTTGTTTATATGACAGAACCTATTGATGAATATGTAGTACAACAAATGAAAGAATTTGATGGAAAACAATTAGTATCTGTAACCAAAGAAGGTTTAGAGTTTCCTGAAGATGAAGATGAAAAGAAAAAAAGAGAAGAAGATAAAGCTAAATATGAAAATTTATGTAAAGTAATGAAAAATATTCTTGATAATAAAGTGGAGAAAGTTGTAGTTTCAAATCGATTGGTTGATTCACCTTGCTGTATAGTTACTTCACAATATGGTTGGACTGCTAATATGGAAAGAATTATGAAAGCTCAAGCACTTAGAGACACATCTACCATGGGATATATGGCTGCAAAAAAACATCTTGAAATAAATCCCGACCATACTATTATTGAAACTTTACATCAGAAAGCAGAAACAGATAAAAATGATAAAGCAGTAAAAGATTTAGTAATTTTATTGTTTGAAACGGCACTTTTATCTTCTGGTTTTACTTTAGATGAGCCACAAGTTCATGCTGCAAGAATTTACAGGATGATCAAATTGGGACTTGGTATTGATGAAGAAGAATCTGTACCAGAAGAACAAACTACAGAAGAAATTCCTCCTCTGGAAGGAGATACAGAAGATACTTCACGAATGGAAGAAGTAGATTAAACTTAATCTTAATAAATTTAAATATAATGACAATATCAATGTCATTATAATCATTGAAAGACTGCCGAAATAACCACGTTTTATGTGGTATTATTATCATCATATATTTTCATTTTAATTCTCTGTACAATCTTAATTTATCAAAAACATTTTTTGATGCCAAATATTTTGTAATTAAGTTAAATTTACAATAAAATAAAATTTATTATAATGATTATAACTCATTATCTTTACTATATCATTTATCACATTAAATGAAATATAAGATAAAACAAAATAAATATAAACAAAAAATAATTGTTTTATTTATGAAAATTTCAAGAGATAACAATTGAACATTCATATATTTTTTATTCCTAATATAAATAACCTATTTGACCTACATTTCTATTTAAATGTATTAAAATAATTATTAAATTTAATGTATATTTCGATATACATACATATTTATTATACAATATAGATTCGAATAATTCGATATAAACTTGAACGAAGTTAAAAATAGGAACGTTGTTTATTAATTTTTAACACCACATAGTTCATATTAACTTTATAAAACTAGTTAACCTTATACAAATATTTCACTGATTGTTTTATATTCATTGAGTATGTTAGAATACGCCATCTATTTGAGACTTTTAAAGTGATTGAAAGAAGCTTGTGTTGCAAGTAAAACTCGGTCTTCGCATAAGATACATTAAAAAACAATTATGATGGCAAGCAAAGGTTGGAAGGTCAGTGCATCGGTATAATTGTAAGAAGAATATATGCATATGTATGTATGCGTAGATTAATATATGTACATAATAAAACATGATCAATTTATAAGAATTAAATCTCATTAGGTAGTAAAACCACACGTGCCTTTGATTAAATTTCGTAAAGGTGGGATTCAGAAAGGTAATGTAAAAGAAAAATTACTGAGTACCATCGTTGAAAATTTCAATTGAAAGAGTTCAATTGAAAAAGCCGACTGAAATCCTTGTTATTGGTTAACTACTGCAGATACAACTTCAAATCCACCATCTAAGCACTTAGACTCGGCTATGTTAGAACAAAATAATCCTAGTGCAACGGGACCTAATGTAGTTGTTTTACCAACAATAGAAGATCTTTATCTTCCTGCGCGATTTCAAAGACGACCCATTGATGAGAAAGAAATTGCATATATTAATGTAGGTATACTATTTATTTTACTATTTATAATATAATTAAATTTCTCGTTCTATAATATAAAATTCATTAATAAAAATCATTAAAATATAAATGAGTTTATAATTATAGTGATAATAATTTTTAAATTTGCATATTTTTTTATCTTTATGCATAATTAGAAAAAAATTTATATTAAATGAATCCTTTTTTTATTACAGAGAGGTGGCCCAGAATAAACTCCTTGAATAATTTATAGAACATTATATACTTTAGAAATCATTAACAAACTATTTACTATTAAATTTTTGTGTATAATTTATTCTGTAAATAAATGCAAGTAAAAGAAGTACATATTCTTACTATTTACCTATAAAACAAGGTCTCTCTTTGCTTATGTGACATTGTCTGCTATTTCTGGCTTGTCTTTTGGCTTACTTTTATAACTAACATGTAGAATGTTAATTCTAAATAAAAAAAAATTGATAAAATTATTTTATTTTTCTGTAATATTTATTCTATTATGTTAATATTAAAATTTATTTAGCTTCTAAATATAAAAAACGTTACGAATTCTTTATAAAATATATTTACATGAATCATTTTTTGTTATCTCATTACGATACAAAAATCAAACAAATTAAATTCATTAAAATGTTTCTTAACAATTAATTATTTAAATGCATTCTTTTGTAGATAAATTAAAGAAAAATATTATGGGAACGAAAGTCAGTAGACACAGCCCTGTTCCATGACAGAAATAGCAGACGACAGTGCGCTGTGACTGTGTCTTCCATCCGCTTTTGCGATCCCTGGACGTAGTTAGTGGAAGATTTACAGTTGTTTTATCTTTTATCGAAATTGCGAGAGTTATACGAACGAAAAATTTACGAATATGGCTGAAATAACAGATTTCGGTCCGAGAAAGACGATTTTTATCTTAGCCATTGTAGCCGGGTGTTTTGCGGTATTATGGCCGAAAATTTTCTATCCAATGCTCACAGCATCTGTCAATCCACATCATATGACCGACAATTCTGGTAAGATTTTATAAAGATATTTTATTTTTAAAAAATAAGAAGAATGCATAATATATCAAAGTTTTCTAATTTAATTATTTTTACAGTATTATTTATATTGAATTAAGAAAATTCATGATTTAATTTCAATTATAAATTTTTTTTTAATTATTATATTTTGAATTATTTAATAATTATTTACATTAATATAAATTATATATTAAAATGTTATTTTTTCTTGTTATTAAGTTAATTTAAAAATGTTTATTAGCATGCTGCGATGTAATCTTTGAAAGTGATGTTACTGCAGCTGATATTATGTATGAAATATGTCAGAATATATTGAAGCACCATCAAATTGATCCAAGAATAAGAGATGCTTTGAGAACTGTAAAATTAACACCACAAAGTGCAAGTTTATGTAGAGAAGAAATTTTAGCTAGATGTGGTATAGATTTATCTACATTTCTTGCTAAAAGAGAACATCTGGAAAAATCTTATAAACAAGTTTTAGAAGAAATAAGATCATTTAATAGTTCTCTTTGTCTTAAAATAAATTTTGGTATACCTCTTTCTCAACTAGGAACTCCACATTTAATCAGATATCATATATTAATGCCACACAGTAAGAATTATAAAAGGTTTTATTCAAAATTTTTAACATTTTAACTTTATTAATAACAGCATGAACTTGAATAAAGTTTTTGTTTTATTATTAATATAATTATATTATTTGAATTGAATTATTGAGGTATTGATTATATTTATTATTAAAAATATAATTATACTATTAAACTAACTAATTATATATGGAAAGCAGATTCAAGTTATCTCTTCTATTTGGCAAGTTGCCAAAAGAGCAAATATAAGTAGAAATGAGTAGATGAGAATAAATTTACTCTATAGATATAGCTTTAAATATATGTAATAAACTCTTTCATTGTAATAAAATAATAATATATTACTAACATTACATAATATTGAATTTTAAAATGATAAAATAATTATAATAAAATTTTGAATTCCACTTGTTTTATATATTTTATATTTTTTTAAATAATACTTAAAAAGATATTTATATTTCTAGATACAATAAAACAAGAACGACGTACACCTCCACATGCAGGTGGTTTACATCCTGCATTAAGAGAACGTGGTAGAGCTATACCTTCTTCTCATATTGTACCAAAGGTTTCAGATAGACCTGATCACATTGTGCCAAAAATGAGACCACCTTTAGGTGGTGCAGGACATGTTGTTCCTGCACCAAAAGGAAGTGGTACTATGGGAATTATTATGCCATTGTATACTTTAGGAATTGTACTTTTCTTCTTATATACAATTGTTAAGGTAAAATATTATTTAAATTTATTCTTAAAATTAAAATTTTAATAATGTAATTATATTATAACTACTAATCTTTGTAAAATTTTGTTAAAAATTATTTTATTAGGTGCTGAGAAAAAATTCGGATAGTGAAATTATTTCAGAATATCCAGGTGCTGCAGCAGAAAAAGAATTTCGAAAAATGGTATTCAGCCCTGAAGCTTTTGCTACTGCAATGACTGGTGGTACAATGAATTATCAGAAGGAAAGATCTCCATCACCACAAAGACCTACTCCTACTTTAGAGGAATTAAAAGACCGTAAGTTTTTTAAATATTTAAAAGACTATTGACCACACTTTATTTACATTATCATTAATGCAGTGTTTTCCTTGAAAGCTAGTTCCTTTAAAGAATACTGAAAAATAAGGTACATGTTTTTTTGAGTATCTAATCAGATTTTTAAATGGTGTTGCATGATGCAAGGTTTGCACAATTAGAACACACACGTATTTATATCATAAATATAACAAAAAAAATATTAGATTAAAATTAAAAATATTGTAAGTATTCGTGTATATTCTCTGAACACGTTTGATAATGTTATACATGCTGGAACACAAGAAGCGGCAGGAGACATAGAGATAGATCAGCTGAGACGTCGTTTGGTCGAGACAGAAGCAGCCATGGAAAGAATTGTTGTTCAGATGGGCAACATATCACGTTCAGTTATGCATAGTCCAAACCCACAACAAGAATTCAAGGTTTACTAGATTAATTATGAAGCAGTTTATATTTTCAATTCTTTAGTTCTTAGAAATATGCACGTTGTTGTGTTCTGATTGCGTTTCAAATTTTACCTCTCCTTTTGTATATTAAATTTTACGTATCCGTTATAAAATCTTCGATATTTCGCTTTTTCTTATACTTCAATGCTTGTATAACCATATTTAAATTAATGATTATTTTGTATATATTTATCTCTATAAAAAAAGTGCATACTCATATTTTAGCTGAGTGAAATACTCGTTAAAACATTTAAATTGATAAATTTAATTCTTAAATAATTTAGAATTTATAGTTTTTATTTTTACATTTAAATAGTAGATGGGCCTCCAAAGTCCAAAGGCCTGGCAGGGATTGATCGCTCATCTAAGGTATATTCTTTGCCTAAAAGATTTTCTAACAAGAATAACCAACGTCTATGTTAAATTTTTTCCATAAATAACAAAATCTATTTTGTTCAAATATTCTAATATTAAAGAGTTAGTATTGAGATAATATTTAAGACTATTTATAATATGTTATAAGTATAATCAAATCATATTAAATATAAAAATAATCTGTAATGTACTTATATATGTCAAATGTGTGTTTTTTTTTTTAAATTAATGAATTTAAATGCACGCTTATAAATTATTATATTTTTATAGTTATTTCCTTTTATATTATAAACTTTTTTAAATCAATAGCATGATTTTTTTTAATCGTTTTTTCGAATGTATGAATCTTTAAGTGTGAATGCTATTTTATATTTTTGAAAGGGATTAAAAAATATTTATTTTTTATTGATTTATAAATATTAACGATTATAATGTAATATTTATATTATAAATTATATTTATATTATATTCAAAATAGATATAATTATACTTTTAAGGAAATAATATACAAGATCTTTTATTTAAAAAATTTAATTTACAGGACAATACCACTGCTCAGGCTGAATATAGTACAGCAGATAAAGTAGAAAACATAGAACATTCACCAACTATTAAAGTTATGGGTATGGAAATGACAGCTAGTTGTGAGAATAAGGGTAGTAGACCTACTACTCCTATAATTCCAATTTCACCAAGGTAATGGAGGGATTTTGGAAAAGATATATTTATTAAAATTTAAATTGTTTTTAATAAATACAATTATTCTGTTTTAGTCATATTGAGAGGGAAAAGACACCACCAAAACCAATATATTTAGAAGGTGCACTTCCTCCACAATGTGAATTGCTTGTAACAGATTCAGAAACTCAAGCTCAGAAAACAGAAGAGGATATAGAGGCACCTGTTGTACTTTCAGGCAAAATGACTCTTTCTCTCATCAGTCTCGACCAAAATACAGCTGTAAGAAAATATTAGAATTACAACAGAATCAAATCTGAATCTGTGGAGCCTTGTTTTATTTGGTGATTTTTTCATTCATTTAATTATTTACTTCTGTATAGATTATTTAACATGAAAATAGCAAATCACAGAAATGATATAAACAATCAAAATTATTATTTTAAAATAATATAATTATTAATTAATCCAAAAATTTAATATTAATATGATGTAAAACATTATTTATCTGATTTGTTTTTTGTGATTTGTTTTAAATATTAATATCTAATTTATGTTCTAAATTGATTATTAATATTTTAATTTTTCATTTTAAGAATGCCTTATATATATATTTCACATTTACATCACATAACTATTAATTGACTATTAATTATACTTAAATAACTATTAATTATATTTTATTATATAATACTTAGTATTTATAAACTTTATTTTCAGTACATATATTATTATTTTCAATTATTATTTAAATTCATATAATTTATTCTATATTTTATTTACTATATTTTATTTACTATATTAGTTTATTCTGGCCACTTTTTCGAAGCTATAGTCATTACATATTTAATTAAATGTAATTTTTATTCATTTTTAAAAATAAAATTGCTAAATATCTTTTTATTATATTAGGAAATTGATGAAGAAGATCAAGAAAAAAATGCAAAAAGTATAAGAATCTTTGATTCAAAAGACACAGCAAAAGTATTAAGTATTAAAAAAAATAATGAAGAGGAAATTGAGAATAAAGATGAAATAAAAGAAATTTACCAAGAAAAACAAATAGAAATGGAAGAAGAGAAACAAAAAAAATATTTAATACAAAACAGGACGGATATAAAGCCAACTGGATACATTGAAGAAAAAGAAAAGGAAGAAATACAAGGAATTGAAGAAACAAAAGAGATTGAAGAGATAGAAGAGATTGAAGAAGATGAGGAAGAAGTAGAACAATCTGAAGATGAGAAAAAAGAAGAAAACGATGAAACAGAAATAGATAGAGATGATGAAGAAAATGATAAAGAAAATATTAAAATTGAACAATATAATGAAGGAAGTGAAGAAGAAATAGATGAAGAAGAGGAAGAGGAAGATGAGGAAGAAAAAAAGGAAAAGAAAGAAAAAATAGAGGAAAAGGGGGAAGGAGGACTAGAGGAAAATGGAAAAGAAAAAGAGAATAATAATAAAAACATATAAAAAAAAAATATTATATTTCGTGTTAAATCATTGAAAAATAACAAATATACAGAAGATAATAAAACTTAATAAAAAAACAACGAAATTATAAAGATTTGACGAGGAAAGTAAAATTAAATAGATTAAAGATAAGGATTAAAGATGAGGATAATGGGTTGCCTTACAATGAAAAGACAGTTCAGAATAAAAAATAAAAATTATAATGACAAACATTTGACTAAATCAGTGTTTACCAATCTTTAAAATTTATGGATTACAGTAACAACAAAATAATTGATAAAAATAATCATGAATGATACAGATCTTGGTTAAAGCACTGCCAAAGACCTAATATGATATAAGACTCGAATTTATTCTATGATTATATTATCGCCTATTGTATCTTATATTTCATAGAATCAAAAATTTACTAATCAGAGGGGCCAAATAAGAGGCAGTGTATCGTTGCACATGTCTGATTGAGTCATTGTATAATGATGATCACAGAATTCAAGTACAGTCAATAGGCACTAAATAATTACTGATATAACTCTGATATTAATTCTATATTATTGGGTATGATGATTGGCAAGCACTGATCTATAATGCTTGTACACATACCAATTATTTGAGTTTAGTTCCATTTTGAATTTTTTTATTTATACAAATTTTTTGTTCATTTTTTATTTAATTTTATATGCAATTTTCTGTGCAGTATTTGAGTTATATGAATTATATTTAGACTAGAATTTTTTAATAATGTAGTTTATAAAACTATTTAGTATGTAGCAATGTCATTTTCATACCTATGTTTAATTGTGCAGTTTCCATATTAAATATAAATATCCATCATTTTACTTGCTACACTTTAAAATGTTTGTTATGTATATAAAAAGGAAAAAAAAACAAAATACAAGTTGAAATCATACTCAGTGTTGTGTAAAAATAAAAATTAGTTTAATTGCATGATCTTCCATGATAATGTTAAAAATGAATAATAATATTTAAATCATTCATCTTTTAATAGTTATTATGAGATGACATTATTAATACTACTGTTATATGATGTCTATATGAGTAGATAATGTTATAATTGTGATCAAATATATTTTAAAATATTTTTACGTGAAAAATGTCGAATTACTGCATTTTTTGTAATATGTATTACTATTGAGAAAACGCAAAATCATATAAATATTTACTCTTTATAGTTTTAAAATTATGCCTAGTATAAATAAAAATTTTAAGAATATATTTCATTTAAAACAAATTTAATGCAATTATTTCATATAAATTTAATAAAATATTAATTAAATAAAAATTGAAAATCAATGGCACTCTCTAGAGTGCTGTAATGAAACAAATGAGGTAAAAAAATAAATAATAGGAGAAAGATAAAAATAGAATAAGAAATGACTATCTTTAACAATATTAAAAAGATGATGCTGATTTTCAATTCTTATTCTCTATTTTTCTTCTATTATTTGCTTTCCTCAATCCCATTTTGGTTCATGATACTCTAAAGATGGCGCTAATTCCACAATTTTTTAATTTATCTTTGTTTTTCTTACTATTTATTGTCTTTGTCGATATTAATTTCATCCATATATTGTAATATAATTGTATAGAGAATTATATTACGTATATGCTACACATACGCACGCATATATCTATATATATATATTGTATATATACATTTATACAATATCAGTTTTCCATCATGTATCACAATTAAATTACTTTGTAATCTCTATGTATTTTGTGCCTACAACTTAATAAACAATAAGATTTATTTAATGTTTTTTAAATCATAATATTTTTATTAGTGCAAGTTCTGTGATAGTTTAACAAATTTAAAATCAAAACAGACTTTTATTTTAAATTATATATGGCTAACCTATAAAAGGTTATTTCAATTTATAAATAAAGGAATAACACAAAATTTTAATTGAAGAATTTAATAATAATCTTAAGAATGAAAGGAAATATATTTTCTTTTATGATATAAATTCATATATATTATTATAAAATTATAATTTTTCGTAATATAATAATCGTAATAAAATCTTGCGTATAAATATGTACTTCTACATATTTAACTTGAAATTTTATTATTTTAGTGCATAAATGCAATAAATGAAAGTGCGACATTTTTTTGCGGGTATCCTTATAGGCATTCCTATTGGGATCACCTTTTTGGATACGGTTGGTTACATAGCTAAAGTAGAAGGAGTTTCTATGCAACCAACTTTGAATCCAGATGAGAGGAATCCAGATTATGTTTTTTTGAATCGCCGAGCAATTCGCACCCAAGATATTCAACGCGGTGAAATAGTAACTGTTAAATCTCCAAAAACTCCAGAACAAATTTTGATTAAACGTGTTGTGGGACTTTCTGGAGATATAGTACGCACACATGGGTATAAATCAGATATTTTTCAGGTATTTAAATTAGTTATCTTATTAAATTTAATTTATAAGAATTCATGAAGAGAATATATTTATATTTGCTTAGGTACCAGAAGGTCATTGTTGGGTAGAGGGAGATCATATTGGACGATCTATGGATTCTAATACTTTTGGACCTGTTTCTCTTGGGTTAATAACAGCAAAAGCTACTTCCATAGTCTGGCCACCTAGCCGTTGGCAATATCTTTATCCTTCCATGTCAAATCATAATTTTCCATTAAATTCACCAAGAATACCAAGATAAAATTTGTTATAGAAAAAATGAGAGCTGTTAGTTTTGTCAAAAGATTACAATGGGATTTACCTGGTACTGTGTGTAGACATGGATTAACAATAGGAGATGTTGATAATGATGGTGATAATGAATTAGTTGTTGGTACTGCAGAAGGAGAACTTTATATTTTTAAAGTGAATTTTTTATTCTTCAGTAACAAAAATTATTAAAATATATATTTTAAGTATTTTTATTTTTATTATTATATTATAGGGATCAGAATTATGGCAAAAAATACCTGGATTAGGTCTTATTACTAGTGTAGCAATAGGAGATATCTTTAATTATGGACGAAATGCATTAGTTGTAATATGTGGAGATGGTTGGGCACATATTTTTTATAGTCCAAGATCTGTTAATCCTAATATTGTTAATATAAGTTCTACTCAATTAAATAAAGAAACAATTGATCAAGATAACATAAAACATAGTAAGTTCATTTTTATTGTATCATATTTAAAATTAATTTATTGATTTGTTATTGAATAAAAATTATAGGTCATGCAAGTGTGGATGTTATAACAAGTGTTAATATGACAAGTTCCTCAAGTTTAGATCAAATAGATGGTAACAATGAATTAAATGAATTATCTGGTAAAATGGAGTGTGTGCATGTACAAAGAATTCCAACCAACACAAAGATGATTTTAATAGCAGATGTTGATAAAGATGGTGCAAATGAGATGATACTTGCTTTGACTGATCGTGTAGTTAGATCTTATAGATGGTCAAGTAATTTAGAATTAGGAAGAGGAAAACTAGTTGGATTGAACAAATGGGAATGTGCAAATCAAATAGGAACTGTCACATTACAGGTATAATAAATAGAAGATAAATTTTAATTGTAATAATAATGTATTTTAATTTTTATTTAGCATATGGCGGATGGAACACCAACTTTATTAGTTGCTCAACCTGGTGGAACGTTCATGCGAATTAAATGTAATCCAGAAGATTGTCATTTAGAAGATGAAACTGATCATAAAAGTAATGAAACAGAAGCAAGCTGTGTAGATTATCAAACATTGGGAATATCAAGAATGCGCAATCAAAATATTTCGACAGAAATCATCGGAGATTTGGAATGTATAGTAGAGAATAAGGTGTCAAGTTACGAATTCAAAGAATCATGTAAATCGAATGTTTTAAATGAAATTCAACATAGTAAAAATTTAAAATCTGTCTCGTTAGAATCTAAAAAAAATAATTCACAATTAGAAACAAGAAAAAGTACTATGGAAGGGCATAGAAAAAATTCAGCGGTAGACAATTCAAAAATGATAAAAATTTCTGGAACTTGTGATCTTTCTAATCGAGATCAAGTTGACGGTAATATTTTGGGAGGCAACGTAATTCTTGGTGATTACGATATTAAGACGGAAAAAGATTCTTTATTACCTACATATAAGCATTTTTCGTGTCGAGATAATAGCAATAATTATAATAAAGAAGAATTAAAAGGAAAGAATAAAATCGAAACTGATGCGAACATACAAAATAATTCTTTTCAAGGAAAACCTTATGCTCTTGCTACTTTAGATGGGACAATAATGCTGGTTAAAGATGAAGTCATTGTATGGTAAGATTGTAAAATCGCTAATTTAATAACAAATCGTATAGATTATACGATTTTTTTTAGGTCGATGCAAGTAGATCATCAGATATTCTCTTTATGTCGATTAGATGTAACTGGTGATGGTTCTGATGAGATAGTAGCTTGCGGATGGGATGGACAAACCTATATTTTAGATCAACAACGTAATAGTGTACGTTTTCAATTTGAAGAACCAATTAGAGCATTTTGTACTGGTAATTATAATGTTACTCCCGGATTTCCGACACCTTGCCTTGTATATAACAGTTTTAATAATAAGGTAATGTTATTATTGTAAATAGTTGTAATATATAAAATAATCAATAAAATTACAAATATTAATTTTTGCAGATATTTCTTTATTATGACGTTACACTTCCAAGTATGGTTACTAAGCCTTTGAATCCCATAGAGAAACTTGACTTCGAAGAAAAGGAAATTTTAGACAATCTTCTAGGAAACTGTAGTGATATGGAGAAACAACAAAAGATGCGAGAGTTGACAGAATGGTTATTATACGGTATACCTTAAAAGATTTGATGCTGTAAATTATATAAAGAACTATAAATTATATAAAGAATTATATAAAGAAAAATATATGCAGATTCTTATATTTCCTTTTTTTGTTCTTTTTCTACATGATATTAATATATTAATATATATGTTATTAGTCCGTATCGACAGGATTTAATTATGTGAAACAATCTGCTTCGTCATTTCTTAGCATGAAGGATATATGAGTGATAAAAATTCTTATAAATTTTTAATAAATAAAATGAGGAAGATATCAGTTACCGAATAACTCAAGGTTCAGTCTACAGAAAATGGTTTAAGGATACCTAATTATTTACAGAACATTGCGAAAGATGGAATGTTATCTATCTATCATAAATTAAAACTGGAGTCTGTGTAAAATCAGTTAAAATATAGCATCAGTTAGAACGTTATCATTATTAGTAGGAATATAGCTCTCATCGAGTATTTTTCCGAGCTTCTATTAAATTGCAACATTTGATATTCATAGATTGATCATTAATCGGAACTTAATAAAAATCTCTGTAATTAATAGCTATATTTCGAGCAAATATCGGTTCATGTATATTGATAAATTTACTTTTCGATAACAAATAAGAAAAATAGAAAATCAAAACGTGAGTGTTACAATTATATTTGATCGATCTACTTACTGTACCATATTATCGTATTGTAAATAAAATAGATTGAAATGGGAGTTTTTTTTATTAATTACAATAGCTAATCAACTAGAAGAATAAGTTGTCTAGTAAGAGAGTGACGAAGTAAAATATTCTTGTAGTGTTTAATGTGATTTCATTTTCAAATTTAATTTCATGGATTTTAGAATGGCAGAAAACGAAACAAGATCATTGCTTGGACACGAATTGAAACACCTTACATTTGGATGGACTGATTACACATTGTTCGGTGGTCTTTTAGGGATCAGTGTACTTATAGGAATTTATTTTGGCTGTTTCGGTAAAAAACAAGATAATACTACTGAATATTTGCTGGGAGGAAAAACAATGTCCTGTTTTCCTGTTGGCATGAGTTTAATTGCTAGGTAAACTATTGTCAAA